AAACAGACAATACCCAAAATTCCTCCATTCGCTTTGACGAAGGGCTAACGCTCGAAACGTCAACTTTTAAACTCTTTACGGTGGTTAATTTACGTTATCAACTCAGTCGAAAATACCAAATTACCCTGTTATAATCTCCCACCGACGCAACACTACAGTTCATTTCGAAACTTACCCCTTACCCCTTGAAGAAACTGGGTCACACTGGCTGTGTCATTAGTGAAAATCGATTTTGGTTTTGAGCTGACTAAGAAAAAAAGATTGACTGCATAATGGACCTTTACATGTATTCATTGACATTAAATACACAAGAATATGAAGAGCTGACTTCACAACTGTTTCTCTACAAAATTATTACTAAGTCTTTATTGCCCATATGTTATTATTTGACCGATTATCACTAACCTCCCCCAATGCCCGCTATTTTAAGTCTAAACAATCCTGGAATTTGTATCTTCTTTATTCTATCAATGAAGGTAATTTGTGGTTAACATTTTCCTTACCCTGGAAATTATAATCTATTATCTTGCCTCACCCTAACACTGTATGCTTTTAACGTGCAAGAATTTGTGTGAATAAAAAGCTGGGATAATTTGTTGTTTATCACCTAAATATTCATGCATTCATTCATCTTTTTTTCACACGACCCCACAAGCTTTGAGCTTTAAACCCTGTCATGTTTAAATAAAGGATATTATTATTATTATTATTATTATTATTATTATTACTGAGAACGTACGAGCCATGTTTAATTCACTACGCTGACGAAAATGGTTTCATTACCACCAAGCTTTCCCTCAACCTCTAGGAGTGAATACCTGGGAGTGAACCTCCAGGAGTGAACCTCTGTGAGTGAACCTCTGTGAGTGAACCTCTAGGAGTGAACCTCTGTGGGTGAACCTCTAGGAGTGAACCTCTGTGAGTGAACCTCTAGGAGTGAACCTCTAGGAGTGAACCTCTAGGAGTGAACCTCTAGGAGTGAACCTCTATGAGTGAACCTCTATGAGTGAACCTCTAGGAGTGAACCTCTGTGAGTGAACCTCTAGGAGTGAACCTCTAGGAAATGAACCTCTAGCTGGGAGTGAACCTCTGTGGGTGAACCTCTAGGAGTGAACCTCTAGGAGTGAACCTCTAGGAGTGAACCTCTAGGAGTGAACCTCTAGGAGTGGAAATCTGGGATTGAACCTGTGGTAGGAACCTCTAGGAGTGAATCTCTGGGAGTGAACTTCTAGGAGTGAACCTCTAGGAGAGAACCTCTGGGAGTGAACCTCTGGGAGTGAACCTCTGGGAGTGAACCTCTGGGAGTGAACATCTGGGTCTGAACCTCTAGGACTGAACCTTTGGGAGTGAACCTCTACGGCTGAATCTTTTGGAGTGAACCTCTAGGAGTGGAAATCTGGGAGTGAAACTCTGAGAGTGAACCTCTGGGAGTGAACCTTTGGTAGTGAACTTGTGGTAGTGAACCTCCAGGAGTAAATCTCTGGGAGTAAACCTCTGGGAGTGAACCTCTGGAAGTACATCATGCGGTACTTTCACTGAATTAATTCCTCTATTAGCACGCGCTGACAACCCTGTGGGTTTGAGGCAAAAAAACAAACATCAATTAGCGCTTCAAAACAGAATTACTACGACACACTAAGGAAAGTGCTGCCATGTATTTCAGTGGAGAAATGTTATGATCACTTTACCATGTCCAGCAGTTTTATAACA